TTTAGTTTTGGCCCTATGCCATTTCAATGATGCTTGTGAGAACGGGAAAGGCTGCCCAGACATGGGCTTCATCCAATGAGAACAGGCCCAAATGGCCTGTCCGGTTCAGCTTATCGAGCAACTCTGGATCACGTTTAAATGTAATTTATATATACTAGAGAATTATACAAGTGCATCAGTGAATCAGGCAATTATTTTGCTTGTTTTATACTTATTTCATTTAACTCATTATCTATCTCATGCATGTTTAATGGTGACTATTTGAACTAATGTCTGTTAGCAACCATTAGACCTATCTACGAGTTCAAGTTACAAGTAACTTCAGGATAATCATAAGAGGGGTGCATGCTCATATGGTTTAATTTGAAGTTCCAGCTCTTGTGACCTATTGTTAACTAGTAATCAAGTAAACACATCCAAACTGGAATGAATTATGCAAATGCTATTCACCCAGCCCACTATCAAAACTAGAAGTTCGAACCTCAGTCAAAATATGAACTCAGAATACTTCCTAGTGTTACACGTTCAAACCACAAAACTGAACCAACTACAAATTAAGTCACATCCGAGTTAACAGTTCATAAATGAAGTCCCAAATTTAAATACAACTCGACATTCAACTATATATAATCGGATACATTCAATATTTATCTAGCTATATTAAGGTGTGATGTCCAGCAAGCGGATTTCAGAATCAACAAAAAGCTATTTTATTCCATCTCTGAACTCGGGGTTACAGCAAGGATTCGAATGTGTACCTGACTTAGAACAAAAGGAGACAGACAGTCAGCAGCAATAAACAAGGCGAACACCCAGCAATCAACAGAGAACAGCCACAGGAGTAACTTGACCCCAAAATAACCAGGAGGTTTCAACGGGAAAACCAAAAGCAACAGCAAATGACCCACTAACAGCACAAGGACTCGACACACACTCAATTGCCTTCGAAACTGAGTCTGAAACTTTAGTAAGGTGAAACTTAAACAGAACCAGTTCAAACAGATCCAAATATATTCGATCAAGTTGCCAAGTACTCCTAGATACTGCTGAAACTCGAGCTTAGGACTGACTTTTGTGGAGAGCCCAGAGAAAATTGGAAATGTTTTTGGATTTTTAGTATTTGAATTCAAAAATGGAACTTTGGAAATTCAAAGAGTGAGGGACCTTTCAAGAGGGGTTTTGATGGCTCAAAAAGGCTGGGAATTTTCAGGCTTCCTCCCCCTCTTCTTCAAGGCAAATGAATGCCTATTTATAGGCAAACTTAGGGTCCAATTTCAGATTTTCACTTTACCCATTAGTCCCTATTTTAATTCTATTTTACCCTTTATTTTCTGACTTGTTACACAAGTAACTACCCTAAGTTTACTGAATTTCAGTTTAAAACTCCTTCTAGAAAGTCCTAGGGGGTTCTATTCTGATTTTACTACCCTTAGAATCCCTAAATTACCCTTGTATTAATTCTGAAATCACTATTTCTAATGAAACTACCCTTTTCCCATGCCTAAACTACCCTTAGCACCCCCTGAAATTACTACCCAAACCCAAACAAAACCCCTGAATCTATTTTGCAATTATTAACCCTCGATCTAGGTCTCAATTCACCAAATTACCATTATCAGCTATAACCAAATCAACTTAAACTAAGTACTGAACTAAAGAAGTACTAATTACTGACTAAACAGTAATAAGGGAATACTAACGATCAGATTAAGACTAAACAAAGCCTAAACAAAATTGATTAAGGACTTATCAAAACAAATTAACAAAGAATTAAACTAATAATCACAACTAAAATCAAAAATTAGAACAGATTAGAACAAACAATCAGAACCCAACACATAATCAAAATCAAAACAGAATTGGCAAAAANACATCAAATGCTAATCAAAATTTGATCCAGGACCTACAGAACTCTTCAGCAATCGAAACGACCAAAACTCACTCCAAATGAACCCTAACACCTTCAGATGCTCTGAACAACTAAGTATAGAACAGAAATAGAGAGATTTGAACTATTTTTGATCTTAAAATCAATGTAACAGTATCTATTGTGGTTTATGCTCTTTTTTTTGGATTTTTACTGAATTTGTCTATTTTTTTTTTTGGTTTTCTGTATAGAACTACAGCTAGAAAGAAGTTTTGAATTCAAACTTTAGATCAGATCTAGAGAGAGTTTTGGGGGGAATTTTTGGGGTTCCAAACTTGTTATACAAGGCAAATGAATGCCTATTTATAGGCAAACTTAGGGTCCAATTTCAGATTTTCACTTTTCCCATTAGTCCCCATTTTAATTCTATTTTTTACCCCTTATTTTCTTACTTGTTACACAAGTAACTACACCTATTTTGTTGAAATCTGTACAACAGCCCATTCTAGAAGGGTCTAAACCCATTACAATTCCTATTCTACCCTTACTTCACTTCAACAATTACCAAATCTGATTAAACTACCCTTTTCAATGCCCAAAATACCATTTAACCCTCTTGGAATTACTAACCAACCCAAACCCCTTTACTTTAATTAATATTGACTATGGTTAACCTTATTTAATCTAAATCAGCTATAACCAATCAATTAACCTAAGTACTGAACTAAAGAAGTACTAATTACTGACTAAACAGTAATAAGGGAATACTAACGATCAAATTAAGACTAAACAAAGCTAAAAAAAAATTGATTAAGGACTTATCAAAACAAATTAACAAAGAATTAAACTAATAATCACAACTAAAATCAGAAATTAGAACAGATTAGAATAAACAATCAGAAATCAAAACAGCATTGGCAAAAATCAACACGAAAATGAACCTAGAAATTAAAAACTACAGCATCAATTCAAACAAGAAATGATCGAACAAGGAAGAACTAAACTTAGAGCACTTGAATAAAAACTATACCTAAACCAATGACAAAATTGCAAAAACAGTTTCATGTTATCAACTAATCATGGAGCCAGAACAATTATGGAATTACTTCAAAACCACATGAGAAAAGAGGAAAAACAGAAACAAAATTGAAGCAAACTCACTGATATGATTCTAGGGTTTTGCCGCCTCGTCGATTCAAAATTCGACCAACTCCGGCGAGATTCGAGATCTTCTGATAACGGATTCGTCATGAGGGACGTGAGGAGGTCCTATGGTGTGAAGTTAGTGAGATTTGGAGAGTTTAGGGTTTTGGCCGGAACTTTGGCCGGAGATTCGAGGAGTTCGGAGGGTATTCGAGGGACGGGGTTTGGGGGTTTAGAGAGAGGAGAGTGAGGCGGTTCAAGGGTGTTAGTTTGGTTGGATTTGGGTAAGTTGACGTTTTGGTCCAGATTTTAGATTTGGAATTTGAACAATTTGGTTACGTTTTGAGGAAAACTAAGGCTAGATTTGAGATGAGAGGGAAGAGGAGGTTGAGGGGTGTAATTTTGGGTGGGAACGGAGCATCGCCGCCAGCGGAGACGATTTCCGGCCGGCGGCTCGTAGCGGAGGGTGGCGGAGACGATGGGTGGCTCTAGGGTCTCTGTGGGAGAGACGAAACGAGGGGGGTGAGGGTATTCAGACAGTTATATATGTATACCAACCCACTTCCCAGCCGTTGGATCAAAGATCCTCGACGGCTGGGATTGAATCCCATCGAAACGGTGTCGTTTCATTTAGTCAGAGCAGGCCGGGTAAGGGATGTGATTTGGGCTTGGGGCGGGTATGGTTTGGGGAAGGGATCTGTTTGGGCTAAGCAAAATTGGCCCAAAATGTGAACCAACCTATATATTCTCTTTTCATTTATTTTCTTTCTTTTCTTTTTCAAACAAAGCAAATTAAATCCCTTTTTGTTTTCTTTTCAAAATTTAATAAGAATCCAAATTAATTCCTAAAACTAAACTAATTAATTCCTAAAAAAATTGATTAAGTCCTAATTTAAAAGTAAACTCATGACAAATTCAACAATTGATATTTAAAAACGCAACATGAACTATTTTTGTTATTTTTCCCTTGTAAAGTAACTTAATTACTGATCAATCCTAAAATGTGAAATTAAACCCTAAATGCACATGCCAAACATTTTTATATTTTTCGCCAATTAAAATACACAAACAAAACGCAAACAATTAACATAAAATGTCATAAAAAATCCACAAAATTGCACAATAATGAAAGAAATTATTTTGTTTGAATTTCTGGGAGTAATTCATATAGGGCAAAAATCACGTGCTCACAGTCGCAGAAGAACTTTTTTGAACTCGATTTAATTACGATTTTTAATAGAAAATCAGTCCAAATCACCTCCAATCTTCCTCAAATTTTGTATATTGACTTATCTATATGTTTTCAATGAATTTTAACTATACCCATTGAAAAAAGTTCTTTTTTTGCTTAGATTTTTGAAATATTGTATTTTGTATTTCATCACCTTATTTGTTACCTCATCCATGAAATTTCCTTTCCGTCTTGCATCTAATGTTGCTAATCACGCTTAAAAATATGGAAGGAGATTTTTGCATGTGATTCTTTGAGATAAAGAACCTAATTTATTTAGTTTTTTAATTTTTATATATGCTTGGCTAGTTTTGCTAAGTTTATGACTAATGGCTAAGAGGTTGGTAATTGAAACTTATATGGGACATTTGTGTAAGTTTCCCAACAAAAAATACCTCATGTTTTTAAGTTTTACCGGACCTAGTGCATATTGTAAATATTTTGATATACTTGGGGCCTAAGGCAAGAGCTTCACTTGCCTTACCCTAGAGCCCCCCTTGCCCGTATGAAAAAAAAAATCAAGTGTTCCCAACCATGTTTCTCCTAGTTGATTATGGATTCTAATTTCTCCGCAGCCAAAGCTTTTCCTGAACAGCACCTTTGATCTTTAATTAACTTCCACCCTTGCCCGTATGAGAAAAAATATCAAGTGTTTCCAACCATGTTTCTCCTGCTTGATTATGGATTCTTTCTCTGCAGCCAGTAGCCACCGAAGCTTTTTCTGAATAGCACCTTTGATCTTAACTTCCAGTTTGCGCGATGGATTACGGGTTACGCAAAGCTGTAGAGAATTCTCCATGTGGTAGGTTTATTCGATACAACGAAAAGTTGTTTGGAGGGGCTTACAAAGATGTTTACGTAGGGTTTGATCGTGTTGAGAATATTGAAGTGGCGTGGAACCAAATCGATTTTGAAGGAGAATATGATGAAGCAGCACGAGAAATCCTACTAAAATTGTACACGGAGGCTCATATACTGAAACCCTTAAAGCATGAAAGTATTATCATGTGTTTTTCTCGGTTGTTCGATAGCGAGGCCAAAACCATAAGCGTGATTACAGAGTTGTTTCCCTCAATCAGCCTGAAAAAACTACGACGTACTAAGTCCAACTGTGATGGCGCTGTCAGTGGTATTGATTTGGCGGCTATCAAGAACTGGGGTAGGCAAATTCTTGAAGGTTTGAACTTTCTCCATAGTCAGAACCCTAAGATCGTCCATCGAGACATCAAGTGTGACAATATTTTTGTTCATAGTGGTGGGAAACAAGTTAAGCTCGGAGGGTTTGGTTTGGCAATTCGTCTTATCGAAGGTAATTTTGCAAAAGAGCTAATTAAGGGTAACTCTGCATTCATGGCTCCTGAGTACTATGATGAGAAATACAATGAATTGGTAGATATATATGCATTCGGAATGTGTCTTCTTGAGATGGTTACTGGTGAATATCCATATCGGGAGTGTAGCAATGAGTTGCAAGTATTTAGAAAAGCGTCCACTGGTGTGAAGCCGGCATCTCTTGCAAAGGTAAAGGACTCTAGAGTGAGAGATATCATCGACAAGTGTTTGCTTCCCATGTCTGTGAGGCCATCTGCACAAGAGTTGCTGAAAGATCCGTTCTTTTTATACAACAGTGGATCAACATTGGAGGCTTGTACTTCCACTGCCAGTTCTGTAATTAGTCATCCTTTTCCGAGATTACATTGTTGTGCAAACTAGGGCTTTTGTTAAGAATTTATATCTGGTGTGATGATCATTATGAATCACACACGCTAGTTTAGGAGTAAGGCGTAATTAATTGCTTGAATTTTTTCTCATACATTCAATCTTGGAAAAATTTAGAGTAGGAGCCTTTTGTTTTCCAGAATATGATGTTAATATCAGAACTGAGTTGACTATCTATTGATGAAGTAAATATATACACATATTTCTCAGAAAAATCTTCATCAAATGTTTTTCTTTGAACGAAACTAACCCGAATTAACAATATTGGATAATTCAAAGTTGACAATACCCTAATTTTATGGAAAATAAGTCAAGACCCCTATTTAATAAATCCAAAGTACTAAGCATTGTCACACACTAAAAATATTTAACTTACCAAAGTGTTGGAAGTATTCAGTCATTTTTTGAAAGGTGTATGATGATTCCTTTAAAGCTATGACAAAAATATGAAAATACCTTCATAGCAAAATAAGCTAATACTCTCTCTCTCAGTCTATATATATATATATATATATATATATATATATATATATATATATATATATATATATATATATATATATAATAGGCCATGCATTAGGGATATACCTTTAAAAAAGTGGAATGATACTAAAGAGAAAAGAAAGAATATTTTAAATAGAAGAAAGGTAATATATAGTAGTAGTCTGAGAAATATTAACTTAGTGCAACTCAAAAATTTTATGCATACGGTGAAAAGAATGAAGACAACAGACACGTAAAAAATAGTAGAACGGATAAAGCATTTTGCCACTCATTTGTTAACTTGAAGACTTGCTAAAATTGCCATAAAACATTTGTCTTTAACCAACAACTCTAACTTCTAATATAGATAATCAAACTGGTCATTCCATACTGATCAGTTCATGCTCAGGAAGAGTGAGTTAGAATATGTTAGTTGTGCATTACAAAATTTTCAAAGTTGCCAACGATTTTGATCAAACTTAAGCTTAATTAACAAATCTATTACTATATGTTTATGTACCAAGAGAATGGTTAAATAAAAAAAATTAGTCTTGACTGCAATTTATTGTAGCTATACAGGTAAGACTAATATTTTTCATGATACACGTAACACTATTAATATACAATGAACAATTAACATTCCTCTTTCCTAAATCATAGAATCCTAGGGGTCAAAAATCTAAATAACAAATATTAGTTTAAACCTATATACATAACTAAGTTTACCCAAATAGTTACTTTTTTTAAAAAAATCTACTGAAACTAATAATATAAGATTTTTTAAATGCGATAGATGATGCAGGAGAAACCTGCCAAATTCTTGGTGCATTTTCAATAATCCTTCGAACGAAAGTACTTGTTTATTGTATAATAAATTATATAGTAGGGCTAATTTAAAAATAATTAGATAACACTTGCTTATTATTTTTTCCCATACTAATCGACTTTCCTTATAATCAGACAATGGGGGCGGGACTTAGGAATTTAGACCTATCATACCTTCTAATTTGTTATTGCAAAATTTGAGGAAAGTCGTCGTTGCTACTGTTTCCGTGTTGTTGTATGAAGCCAAGGTCCAGAATATGCTTTTGTGGACAACTACTATAATAACCTTAGCCATGATTACAAAAGCCATACATTTAAGTCAGTGGAGTGCCATTAACCTCTAAGTCTAACTCTAAAGTCTAAACCCACAATCAACATGCAATATTTCTTTGTCCTTCTACATTTTCTCAATTAATTAAAGAGTATCTTTATTGGCAAATTTCTAATGCACCAATATCAGGAATATATCTTAGTAAATCAGGCTTACAAATAGTTCGCCCGTAGAAGATTTAATTTTCCAAGTTATGTATTGATAATAGGTGAATTTGACTATAATCACGCACCAAATAATCACCTTCTTGTGAACTTTTAATGTGGAAAAATGACAACAAAATGCTCTTATTAGTGTTTTTCATGATTTGCAGGTGATATAGGTGTAAGGAAGGCTAAGGAGCGGTTTTGGAGTCAACTATTGATGAAAAAAGGCCAATTGTTGAATTTCCCAAGTATCCCATTCAAAACAGGCCAAAATTTCCGGGTACAAGTTCCATCGCGGTTCTACCGCGACCGCGGTGAAACCGCGGTGGAAGGCAGTTTCTGAAAGTTGAAGATTCCGCGAGGGCGTTTGGCCGCGGTTCTACCGCGACCGCGGTAGAACCACGGTGGGCACAGTAAACTTCAGGGACTTAAGTGTAAAACACGGGATTTTTAGACCTAAACCCTATTTAAGACACTAGACTTCGCCCAAGAGAGGCATGTATTGATTTTTTAGGTTTCTTAGCAAGGAAAACAATTGTGAGCAAGTACTCTAAACATCTTTCTTCCTTTCTTTTGATTTTTATGATGAATTCAAGCGTAGTTTATTCTCCCATATCTATGAGTAGCTAAATTCCTTGTCTAAGGCTTTGATGGAACCTATTGGGTGATGAACTTCTTGTTTATGTGAATACAAATTGCGAGTTCAATCTTTATTTGTTCAACTTCGTGTTCGTTGTAGTTAATTGACAGGATCCTCAATTAGCTGTACCTATTTAGTGTGCATAACTTGGAAAAGAGTGCATATTTAGGGTATTGTTGAACAACACCACTCTTAGATTATTAGAGGAATCTATAATTGCGGGTTTAAAGGCGGGATTAGGAATAACGAAGTCTTGGGTGCAATCTAGATTGAATTGTGCTAAATAAAGCAAGCTAGTGTATCTCGGGAGAGTGCAATAGTAGATTACTGTGATTACTCGGGAGAGATTTGCGGTAAGATTAGCGTTCAAGATTGATAGAGATGAGTGGGTAAATTTGTATGAGCATAAACAGGAGGGTATTCCAGTC